TCACGAAGCAAATAACATTTCCTATTGATTTTCATTATTCTGTACATAATTTAACCAATTTTAGCAGTTTGTCATATTTTTGAAGTTATTAATCCCAATTTTAATGAAAATTACTTTTGGATTCAAATTATACACACTAGTAATTAATACGTATAAATTTTTTATACTATCAGCGTAATGTGTTAACAGGTTAGTTAGCAACTGGAGTAACACTATTTATCATAGAATTTTACCAACAATTATCTTATAAGTGACTTCATTATTCAAATATTTTCTTCACTTTTAAAACAATAGAAATTAAACTCATTATTCATTAATTTACAGAATAAAAAATATTTTACTTGTCAATGTGTAGAAGTTAAAAGAAGTCTTTGTATGATTTGCAGCTCCAAACTACTCATTCATGCACCAAGCAACTACAGCTCCGGACACTTCATACTACGACTACATAATCATCGGCGGCGGCACCGCCGGCTGCCCATTAGCCGCCACACTTTCTCAGAACTACAGCGTTCTTTTACTCGAACGCGGCGGTTCACCTTATGGAAATCCAAATATCACGAATTTATCGGAATTCGGATCAGCACTTTCTGATCTCTCGCCAACTTCGCCTTCTCAGCGTTTCATTTCCGAGGACGGTGTAATTAACGCGCGTGCACGCGTTCTGGGCGGAGCAAGCTGCTTAAATGCCGGGTTTTATTCACGCGCCGGCACAAAGTACGTGAACCGCGTGGGGTGGGATGGTAAGCTGGTGAATGAATCGTATATTTGGGTGGAAAACAAAGTGGCGTTTCAGCCGCCGGTTAAGCAGTGGCAATCCGCCGTGCGCGACGGTCTTGTGGAATCTGGGGTGGTGCCATACAATGGTTTTACATATGATCATATAAATGGGACTAAGGTTGGTGGTACTATCTTCGACGCCAACGGCAGCCGCCACACGGCTGCCGATCTTCTTGAGTATGCTAACCCTAGTGGCATCATTGTCCTTTTGCATGCTTCTGTCCAAAAAATCTTGTTCAATACCAAAGGTACGTATATTTTTCTTGCATAATTTATTTTATATAACAATGTTTGACGGAAAAATAATTTAAGAAAGAAAGAGAATTTTGGAACATGTATATCAAAAGTATCCTTAGATAAGTATATAGTTTGAAATACGTCATGACATTTCTATCGTTATAAAGATATCATTTAGAGTAAAATAAATTTTTTAATAAACCTTCCAAATACAGAAAGATGCTATTTTTTTGGGTACATGCCACAAGGAAAGAGTCTTAAATAAATTTTAAAATAAATAAGTAAAAGAAATCCAAGCTATGCAGATTAGGAAGCAAATTGATTGTGATAAAAAAATAGATCGGGGGATTTTAAGTCAGTAGTTGTAGAATAATAATAACACATATTACTATAGTTCTAATGAAGAAAGTGTCAATATACTGTGAACTACAATTAATATTGATGGTGAGATTAAGGAATTTCATATTTTAAACTTTGGGTTAAAAAAGTAGTACTTAATAAAATAATGAGAAAACTGGATAGTATAGCCGTTGCCAAAAATAATAGATATACATATTTCATACATAATCAGTGCGTATATTTTGTATATTTGAGTAGCAGATACAATTATTTTTGACCGATAATCCAAATGTGTAACTTGAAGGAGTGGCAAGGCGAGTAGCTCGTGGTGTAGTATTTAGAGATGCATTAGGGAAGAAACACAAGGCATACTTGAAAAGAGGAGAAATGAATGAAGTAATTGTTTCATCTGGGGCACTTGGGAGCCCACAAATGTTAATGTTAAGTGGGGTAGGCCCATCAGCCCAATTAAAGGCCCATAACATCACGGTTGTATTGGATCAGCCCAATGTTGGTCAAGGCATGTCGGACAACCCAATGAATGCCATTTTTGTGCCATCACCTGTCCCTGTTGAAGTTTCTCTCATTCAAGTTGTTGGCATTACTCACTTTGGTAGCTATATTGAAGCTGCCTCCGGCGAGAACTTCGCCGGCCGTGAAACTCTAAGCGATTACGGAATGTTCTCTCCAAAGGTACTTTTTCAACTTTTGCACGATAAATATATTAAGAATAATTAACCCAAACAGCCGTCCACCCAATCACTTAACCTAAAGAAGTATAATATATGCTTAATTTATGTATTATATTGTGTATACTCCATGTATAATCTATGCATATAGTACATTTATTGGGCCTAGATATGCCCATTAGAGTCCTTCTATTTATTGGGCTTTTGACATATTTGCTCGGTCGATAAAAACTAATTACCGTCACTATCTAAATATACAAAAAAATAGACGGATTATGTATAAAATAAGTATGTTATATGTATATTATTTATTATATAAAATAAATGTTTTCTGGCTATTCTTTTGGGGGATTGTTATACAAATAGTCGGTCAAATTCAAGGTTTACTTTTTCTAGTTGGTATATATAGATTATATATATTTATACATATAATAATACATGAATTAATTCCAGTTAAAGTCCCAATTTTATTCTATTTTTAGTTTTGTTTAATTCAGCACAAAGTTGAAAAGAACCATTTTTTTTCATTTTTCAGATTGGGCAGCTATCAACAGTGCCACCAAAACAAAGAACACCAGAAGCCTTGGAAAAAGCCATAAATGCCATGAGTGAACTAGATGATTCAGCTTTTAGAGGAGGATTCATAATAGAAAAGATAATGGGCCCAATATCCACAGGACACTTGGAGCTCCGAACCCGGAACCCGAATGACAATCCATCAGTCACCTTCAACTACTTCAAACAGCCAGAGGACTTACAAAGATGTGTAAATGGGCTCAAAGTGATAGAAAACATAATTGAATCAAAATCATTCTCAAAATTCAGATATGATACAATTTCAATACCAGCATTACTCAATTTGACAGCAAGTGCTCCAGTGAATTTATTGCCAAGACATGACAATGTTTCAGTGTCCTTAGAACAATTTTGTAAGGACACAGTTATGACAATTTGGCATTATCATGGAGGGTGTCAAGTTGGTAGGGTGGTTGATCAAGATTATAAGGTTATTGGGATTGGAAAATTAAGGGTAATTGATGGTTCAACTTTTAGTTACTCTCCTGGAACTAATCCTCAAGCCACTGTCATGATGCTAGGAAGGTTAGTACTAATTTATATAAAATACCATGAAGGAGATCGGAGCAAGTTGTCTCCATGTGACCTATTGTCACGGGTTCAAATGGTGGAATTAGCTTGCGTCAGGGTAGGCTGCCTACATCACACCCCTTGGAGCAACAGTAAAGTTGTATCCGTGTGATCTATAGGTCACGAGATCAAGCTGTGGAATAAGCCACTGATGCTTGCATCAGCGTAGGCTGCCTACATCACACCCTTTGGAGCAACGGTAAAATTGTCTCTGTATGACCTATAGGTCGCAGGTTCAAGCCGTGGAATCAGCCATTGATACTTGCTTCAGGGTAGGTTGCCTACATCACACCCATTGGAGCAACAGTAAAGTTGTCTCCATGTGGCCTATAAATCACGTGTTCAAGCCGTAGAATCAGCCACCAATGCTTGCGTTAGGATAGACTGTCTAAATCACACCCCTTGGAATGTCGCTCTTGCCGAATCCTGTGTAAATGCGGAATGCTTTGTACCCGAGCTAGCCTTTTTTTTTACTAGTACTATAGTATATATAAATGTCTTAGTTCTTGAAAAATGTGATGATTACTAAAAGGAATTTTTTTTTTGTGTGTGTGTGAAATGTGCAGGTATATGGGAGTAAGAATACTGAATGAGAGACTTGCAAAAGAGAAGAGTCATTAATTGATGATGTAATTCGTTTTTTTTCTTGTTTTGTTACCTTTTGTTTGAATAGGTGCATGGATTAAGAACATGTACGTATACCATTATATATGATGTTTATTGTCTTCATTCTCTGTAATAATTCCAAAGTTTTAATACTCCTATGTTTTAGAGGTTTGTCAAGACGTTTTGAGTTTATTCTGGAAAATAGAAGGGATTCTGGACTATAATATGTTGAAATTCTCTTTCACTTCTTTCTTTTGCTTTTAAATTGCACATACAGGCATCAAAATTTAATGACGGAATTATTTGATGAATGTTTCTTTCTTCTTTTTTAATTTATAATTAAACCTCCCTACCTGTATGGGCTTTTATTGTATTATTTGTTAATAATAGTATTTACGATATATTCTTCTTTCTATTTCCTCTTTTTTTTTTTTTTTCCAATTCAACCAGAAATTCTCGTATCCAAGACCCTCAAAAGATCAAGTACTTTAATATATATACTTAATTCTTGCTATTTGCTGGCCTAAATGGAAAATATTTAGGAGCAGAGAAAGGGGTGGGGTTGCGGTGTGGAAGAATATGACAAAGAATATACCTCAAAGGAGGAAAAGAGTGTTGCCACCTACTCATAACTAGTTGCGTAGAAGCAAAAGTAGGATTCTCTCTGTTAAAGGGTATGCTCGCTTCATTTATTCCGAAATATTTTGACTGTTACGGCAAAATGCTGTTATAGAAGATATACTATATTATAACATAGCAGGAAAATTATTTTCATAAAAAACGTAATTTTTATAGTAAATGGCTGTTATATATAGTCATGCTATTACAGAAAGATCTGACTTCATGTCTCTATTCTTGTCTCTCTCACACACACAAAGAGAGAAAGGTCGTGTAAGAGAAGAGGGTCAAGATAATGCTAACTGGAATCTAAATTAATATTTGGAGATATATATATATATATATATATATATATATATATATATGGAGGAATAAGATGATAATCAATTGATGATCAGTCCTTTTTTCAGATAAAAGAAGCTTTTGCATGGAATGCTCAAAAGCAAGGCATCATATAAGAGGATATCCATTCATTCCTTTGGCATAATTCAATGGCATATCCTGGCGTTTTATAACCCTATAATCTTGAACCAGTTATAAATTCTGCTCTCCACAGTCCAATTTCCTTATATGGAGATTCAGAAATAAGCTTCAGATTTTGAAATGTATCATAAGTGGACCAGTTGTAGGGCAGCACTCCGTTTGGCAGATATTTAGTTATCAACACGTATTCACGTACATTTGTTATCTGCCAAAGGAGAGTTGCCCTATAATTGTTTCTGCTTAATTTTTTATATGAGAAACAAAAGAATCATGTGCCTCTTCTTTACGTACATTTGGGGATTCCTTAATTTTCTTTAGTTGGTAAGTGCTTACTTTGATTTAGTCTAAATATGGTCTAATTATCATTGTGTTATGCGATTAATGTTCTGGTAATTTAGTTTAGCTATATATCATACGATGAGAATCTGTGATGTCCATGACGGAGAGCGGGCTGATGAGGGCGGGTCAAGCAGGACTGACAGGCTTCTCGGCTAGAAAGTTTCTGAAGAAGAGATGCACATGTTACTTTAAGCAAATCTCACATCAGAATGTGAGAGAAAGTTAAAGAGCTTTATAAGATATGACACAAGTTCACATGGTACATTCACATTTGGAGTTCAAGGTAACGTACCCCGAAGGAAAAATCCGCGCAAGCCTAGGCCCAAAGCGGATAATATGTGCCATGGGCTTGAATGGTGACAAAATCTTTCATAATTTCAGAAGCTATGCAGTTCGGTTATTGAGCTTGAAAGTAATTTTGGCATGTTAGGTGCCTAGCTGGAAATCATTTTGCAAACTACAAATATTAATAATTCGCAGACAAGTTTGTGTGAATAACCTAAACCTAAAGTAGTCACACGTTTGTAATAAAATGAGTTGGTTCGTCCTGTGGACATTGATCATTTTTGAAAAGAAATAGACATCCCCATATACTTCACTATCGGTTGGTGGACGATATAGTCTAATCATACTAAATTAGGCCTCTAAATCTGCGAGCTTCATTTAATTTGTAAGAAGATAATTGACATTCCTAGCAGGTGTTCAACAGTATCTTTTTGACAAATAAGGGTCAATTTTTATTATTTTTAAGGCACGCAAGAGGTGCATGTTATTTACGAAGCAAAAACTTATAATTGGATTGAAATGAATTAGGAAATGGCCAAAAAGACAAAGTTTTACCTTGTTACACAGTGTAGCAAGAAAATACACAAAATAAGTTTATGACGAAGGGGTGTCAATTAACAACCTCAGTGACTCTGCCACTAGCCACATTTGTGCAAAATTGTCTTGAAACAGACGAAAAATCTGGAGAGCCTAACGGTGCTTCAAGCCAGAAAAGAGAGAAGAAGAATGATGCAACTATCTAATAGAGATCACAGTGAGCGCCAGGACAATTATTTTTGGAAAAAAATCAGAATAACCAGATTTACAATTGTTAATTGAAAAAATTAGCCTTAGTTTCAAAATTACTAGAAATTTAGCCACTTTTTTATGTGAAAATAAAATTTGCACAAAAACATCCTTATAATCTGGAAATTTTCTGGCATAATATATTGGAGTTTAACTTTTTCACATATGAGATTTCAGCATAATGTGTTGGAATTCATAATGTGCTGAATTTCCAACATAATATGCTAGAAGTTTATATGCATGAATTTCATAATCCAGCATATTATGCTGAAACTTTCCGTGATTCATCTAGGATACTTTTGTCCAGAGTTTATCTCCGCATTAAATAGTGGGCTACCTTTCAATAACTTTACAAATACTAGCTATTTTTTGAATAACCACCCTTAAAAATGGCTATGCCATGCCATTTTGACAATTATTTTGTCTAGACTCTAAGAGTGAACTTGATACTAAAAGATTAGTAGGGTGGCCCAAGTCAGTTTGGCCACAACAAACAAGACGTATTCGGATCGAATTTATACCACTACAAACGCCAAACGTAGTGTATGTTGAGATGGCCGAGTTGGTCTAAGGCGCCAGATTAAGGTTCTGGTCCGAAAGGGCGTGGGTTCAAATCCCACTCTCAACATTCCACATTTTTTGAGTTTTTGATGGGGGAAAAAAAAATTTCCTTTCCCATTTTAACTTATGGAATAATTTTTATCAATCAATGTAGTAATTTATAAAAATTCTATCTAAATAACATACCAATCAATCGTATACATTTTCTCTTGCCACTATCCACTTCAATGTTCTTATTAATCAAATAGGACTAACTGCTTTTCTCTATACATTCTAGACTTGAAAGAGATTGAAAAGTTAGACATGACCCCATATATCTGTTATTATCCACACTTTATTTTTAGCTATTAGGCCGTGTACAATAAGCTAGTTGACTTAGTCAACTCAAATTTAATTTTGTAGTATTAAACTAGCAATTTGCTACGCAATTTCCCTTTTCACAAGATATCATTATTATCTTACTTTTATATTTTTGAAAATTTAATTTGGGGAGGTCAACTCAAATTTAATTTTGTAGTATTAAATTAGCAATTTGCTACGCAATTCCCCTTTTCACAAGATGCCATTATTATCTTACTTTTATATTATTAAAAATTTAATTTGGGGAATATGCGCCCAATGGATGTGATGTAAGCAGTCTACCCTAATGCTTACCTTGATGCTTGCATTAGGGTAGACGGTGGCGGAACCACATTGAAACAAGGGGTGTTAAGCGACACCCCTTCGCAGGAAAATTACAATATTTTGCTAGATAAATTTTTTTATTATGTACATTTACTATATGTTGACTCCCCTTGACTTTTTGATGTATCTAATTATTTATATTTTGACATCCCTTGATGAAAATTATGGATCATCCATTGAGGGTAGACTGCCTACATCACACCCATTTAGAGTGCAGTCAGCCCTTTTCCGAACCCTACATGAATGGGAGATACTTCGTGCATCGAGGCATGTAATTTTTACTGGTCAGATATACAACTCAGACTTAGCTATGTATTTGTACAAACTTTTTTCCTATATTGATTGGAGAAGTTTTATTTTGTGTCTCATACAACTTACACTAGTTGTATGAGGCTCCTTTTTGTCTTACAAATTTGTGGATCCCAATCGGCCAATCTTACACTTTTGGATCCACAAAAATCTGGGTCCACAAAACCGTGAGACAAAAAAGTTACTTCATACAACTAGTGTCAGTTGTATGAGACACAAAATAAAATTTTCCATAATTTTCTTAGTATCAACCGCCCAAACGGCTAAAGTGAATATACAGCTAATCTAATTTTTTTTATTTTTAATATTATTCTTCGGGTACATATCTTACCGATCTTAATTAACTTGAATTGAGACCTAGTTGATTGACTTTTGGTATCACAGACCTAGTTTATTTTTAAGTCTTGAAGATTTTAAGTTATGGCTGGTTTCAGCTAACTTGTGAAGAAACTTCTATTGAACTAAATGCCAACAAAAAAAGCAGTTTGGTACACAAAGCATCTCGTGTTCACGCAGAATTTGGGAAAAGGCCGCACTCTAAGGGATGTAATATAGACATTCTATCCTAATCCAAGCATTATTAACTGCTTCTACGACTCGAACCTGAACTAAATGCCAGCAAAAGAAAAGATAATTTTTCCAGGGTATGTTACAACTGATATTATTAGTGGGACATGTACCATAGTGAGTGAAAGCAACAAGACTACACAGAATTTTGGAAACTTTGAATTAAATTGTGAAAACTGACCACGTAAACCAAGTCCAAGAATTCATTGAGAAAAAATCATTCTTGTTAAGTTTCTATGGAAAATGATAGATAGTGCCGGCCACTACAAAAAGCATAATTAATCCATCCTTCTCTGCTTGTTTTTTTGCTCTTTATGTCACGTTTCCAGCTAAGTTTTCCAAAGCCACTTCCACATATTTTTGGATTCTAATATAATCCTAAGATTGTTTTGATGGAAAATTTTAGGCATATAATCTGTCAAGATTAGTATTAATCGGCAGGATTAATGACTTGTTCTAGTGTTTAATCAGAAAAATTAAATGATTTATGTAGTGGCTATTCACATAAAAGACCAGGTCTAAATTTCGATACAACAACAACAATAACATATAGAGTATATTCTCACAAAATGGGATTTGGGAAGGTACAAATGCGAATTCAGGATTTAAATTTATGGGTTCAACCTTTAATATTTTTAGTATTGAACTTATTATATTTTTGTAAAAAAAATGAGTTCATATCTACTCTTTGTTGTAACTATAGTGAACTCTTATACATGAATTTCCGTGTCGAAAGTACTGGATTCATATGAATCCGATGATATTATAGTGGATCCGTCCCTGAGAGGTAGTATGTACGCGGTCCTTACCCCTACCTTGTGAAGGTAGAAGGTTGTTTGTGAAAGACCCTCGGCTCAATAAAGCAGAATCACAACAATTATAATAATGAACTATGAAAAACGAAATAGTAACAACAACCAGAAAATACAGGTGTAAATGTCAATATAGTACTAAATGTCCTATGAGAAAATACATTTGAGAGGGCATTATAAGTTGAGATTGAAATAGTCAATCATGTTTGTAAAGTGCTAACTATTGCTCTCTAGACTAGGCTAAATAACTCAATTTAGTTTACACTTTCACTTGCTGCAGCAATCAAAAAACCAGCAAAAAAACCAAAAGATACTAAATCAAGAATGCAATCACCTTGTCTTAGATTGACAAGAGAAGGTTGTTTCAATTGTTGCTGCCAAAATTCCCATGGAAACCAAAACCACAACTCTAAAATCAGCACAATCATCACTTGTCATCGCGAATTTATCGATACAATGGCTTCTTCTATCCAACCAAATTCTCAATTCACTAACCATGAGTGTTTGCCTTCATGTTTAGAATTGTTTACAAGCTTAAAAGAAGCATATCCACACTACAACCAGACTAATCTAGCTGATGAAATCCGATCACAAGAATACTATCATCTTTCTATATCAAAACATGTTTGTCTTGATTATATTGGCAGTGGTCTTTTTTCTTACTACCAACAACAAGGGTGTCATTCAATAGATGATTCAATCGCGTCTTCGTCATCAGCTCCTCCTCCTCCAACTCAACAATCTGATTCTGTCAATGAGCCTTTCTTTAACATATCATACAAGTCAGTAAGTTTAAGTACTCAGTTGCTATATGGAGGCCAAGAATCAGAGTTAGAGTCTAAAATGAGGGAAAGGATCATGAAATACATGAATATTTCTAAGTATGATTATTCTATGGTTTTCACAGCTAACCAATCTTCTGCTTTTAAACTATTGGCTGACTCTTATCCTTTTGAGTCCAATCACAACCTTGTTACTACTTATGATTATGAAAATGAAGCCGTTGAAGGAATGATAGATAGCGCGAAAAGGAAAGGTGCTCGAGTAGTATCAGCAGAATTCTCATGGCTTAATTTGAGAGTAAATTCAAGAAAATTGAGAAAGATGTTAGTTATCAAGAAAAATGCTAAAAAGAAAAGGGGTTTGTTTGTTTTTCCTCTTCAGTCTAAAGTAACAGGCATAAGATATTCTTATCAATGGATGAATATTGCACAAGAAAATGGTTGGCATGTCTTGTTTGATGCATCTGCATTAGGTCCTAAGGAAATGGAAACTTTAGGCCTCTCAATATTTCAGCCTGATTTTCTCATTTGCTCTTTCTACAAAGTATTTGGTGAAAATCCATCTGGTTTTTGTTGTCTGTTTGTGAAAAATTCAAGCATATCAGTGCTCAACAAATCCTCCACTAGCTTTGGAATTATTAGTCTTGTTCCAGCAACAAAACCATTTGATAAAAATTCTTCTTTTTCTTCATCACAATCAGTTCAAGAAGTGAGCCAAGAAAACTCTACTGAATTTCAAGAACTCAAACAAGTGTCTGAAGAACCAAA